GTATTAACTGGTCTTCCTTGTAGGCTTCTGGATGCATTATCCTATCACAGACAGCATTGTACTTCAAGCTAGATCTTGAAAAGTTCTTTTTGACAATGAATGCACTGCTATTCCTCTTGAATTTGGAGTTCCCATCATAGTAAACCATATGATTGTCTAATTCAAAATGGCCAGTACCAGTCTATTTCAGTTGACTACTGCCTAGGATATCGATCTTTATGTGCTCCATTTCATTTTTGACAACTTCCAATTTTCCTAGGTCCATATTTCATACATTCCATGTTTTGATTATTAATGGATGATTACAGCTCTTTCTCCTCATTTTGAATTGTGCTCCATCAGCAAAGAAGGTCTTGAAAGCTTTACTTCCTTCATGTCATTTCAATCAACTCTACTCTGAGGAGATAGTTGTTTTTTGAGTGCCTTCTTCATCTTCTGACACTGTATCTGACAGTGTTCTGCTGCCATTTATAATGGTTTCATTTCCTGGTACTCTATCGGACAATGTTCCACTGCTGTTCCTAAGGTTTCCAGTGGTTAACCATTCAGTAGTGGTCTGCCTCTTCTTCTTCCTAGTTTGTCTTTGTTTGGAAGCCTCCACTGAAGCCTGTCCACTATTGGTCTCCCTGCTGGTATTTCAAACACTGGTGGCAGAGCTCCCAGCATCACAGCAACATGCAGCCACCACAACATGACAAACTGACAGATGAGTGGTGACCTGGTACCAGGCGGGATTCCATAAATAGCTGTGGAATGAAATTTAACGGTAGACCATCACAACATTCGCACCCCTCGGGATTATCATATGCATTTCCTAATCTTCTCCACATCTTCACTTTCTAGTTATCTTTTCTCCTTCATTCCAAGCCACTGTGGATTCCTTTTGGAAGGGAGGAATGGGAAGATAAATAGAGTGTGCTTTCACACACACACACACACCAACACTTTATTTAGTGAGGAGTTGGAATAATTGCTAACATCTTAAGACTCACTTCAGTTTCTTAAGGGGTTTTCATGTCTTGTTTATCAAACCAAGATGTCATGGCAGGGCCCAGGCAGAACTCCTAGATGCTGAGCTGTTGTCTTCTCCAGGAAACTCCTCCAGAAACCAAACAAACATACAGATGTTAAAGTCATGGAGAAGTGAGTACAAAAATCAATTCTATCACTCTCTACCAGTGTGACCTTAGGCAGGTTGCTTAATCTCTCTGAGCTGCATTTCTTTCAACTGGAAAACAGAGATGCGAATACCTATCTCATACGTTGATGAGCTAATAGGTATCTGATGCCTGGCACCTTGTTCCTTTATCTGATCACCATTGATCACTGTCTTCCAATCCTGGAACCCAGTGCTGAAGGGCAAGCCATGGATGTCTGAAGCAACAGAGCACATTTTAGAGTAACTTTTTTTTTTTTTTTAATTCTTCCCAGGTATTACCTTGGTCGTCAGATGTTTATTGTTATTTCTGAACCAGACATGATTGAGCAGGTGTTGGTTGAGAACTTCAGTAACTTTAGCAACAGAATGGTAGGTGATTTTTCTTTCTATATATGGATGGATGGGTGGGGAATCATTCAGGAAGTGATCATGCCTCTTGTCAAAAGAATGACATTTACATTTAAGAACTGCTTCAAGAAAGCTAACGAGACCTTGAGCTAATAAAAATGCTGGTGCCAGTAGGGCCCAGACTAAGCGACTGAGGAAGACCACACAAGATTCAAGAAGATTGGAGAAAAAGCAGTGCCCTCCCTAATTACAACCCCAATATCTCCAGACTCAGGTCTCTATATCCAGGGCACCAAACTCCAGAGTATGGTTCAAATTTCCTTCCTCTTCCACTCAACACGGTACCCTCTGGACAAAGTTCAAGCTTCCAGACTAAATTAAAGGTCTTCTGTAATGTAAAGCCATGCTAGAAGCCCTAACTGACCTAATGTCTCATTGCTGTCCAGTATAGCTGGCCCTGCCACCCCATTCTCTCCTTAACAAGCTTTTGCTCAGGTGGGTGCTCCTGCCTGGAAGTGGAGGCAGAACAGCATCTTTTGCATTCCCCTAGCAAAGTGAGATTGAACCAATGACTAATTTAGGCCATTTATTCTGGAAAATGAGATGCAACTACTTTCCCAGATTTGCAAAGTTAGATAAGCTCATGTGCAGAAGACTTCTCTCGACAGGATACTTGGCAAGTTAGAGAAACACTCAATGCATCACCCACAGTGACAAGAAGACCCTCCTTCTCCCCCACAGCCACCTGAGTCTCCAACACTGCCTCAAATTCAGCATCCTCCATGAAACCGTCCTACTTCCTTCTACATTTGCTTTCTGCCTTCTCTAAATCCCTTGAGTTCACCTTGACAGCTGATTGCATTTTTAAAAAATGTTTTATTGTGAATTATGTGATAGTTTACATGGGAGAACATTAACTTTACATTCATCCTATCGTATATCATTTCATTACCATGATTACAATCCCCTCTATGCATCATCAACCAAGCAAAGGGTATACACTACAAGCCAACCCCCCAGACGGCAGCACACAGCCCCTCTCCCTCTCTGGATCTAAAGTCCCCAGCTGCTCCCTCTCTCCACGCCATCGTCTCTGCCTCCATCTCTGGCGCCTCTGCTTCTCTGGGTAGGGTCCCGCTCTCTGCTCCTCTCCCTTGATGGTCCCAGGGACCTCCGCTCCTAGACTGCAAAGTCAACCACTCCCCTCCTTTGGCTACAAAATGTCTACCCCTACCTACATTTCCAACCCTCACAATCTGTCCTGATAACAATTATTCAACATTGTATCACAAGAGACCTATCCGCATCTCCTTTCATCAGCCCCGCCCAGACAGATTGGATACTACTCAGTGGAAATTCCATCTTCCTCTGCGCCCTCTGAATCTAGGTTCCCTCTTGAAAGCTTGTAAACCAGTCACTTCCCACCTCCGCAGCCTCCACATTTTGGGTAGCCAATGCCCAAGTTGCCCATCCCTGTCTACTCTGTGTATGGAGGGGGTGGGAATGATCCTCGCTGTAAAGATTTGTTCCCTCTTTTGAGCTTCTGTGTCCATAGGTGTAGGTCAAGTTCATCAAATTGTATCAGATTATTCTTTTTTTCCTCTTCTTTCCTCTCCTAGTTGAGCGCTGATCATCCAGTCAAGTGGGTATTATCTGCAAGTGTGGGTGTTCTTATGAATATGCCCTCTCTTCTTATCAGCTGGATGCTTCACTCTCCTCCTCTAGTCCTCTTGTGACTATGTCACCAACTCTGGGCCCAAGAGTCCCCAGGTCTTGCTACACTGCTGGCCAACTAGCTCTCCATCTGGGTTCACAGGAGTCCACTGAACGCCGTAGGGCCCAGCTCGCAGCCCCATCGCTCTTCTTCCCTCACTTTCCCCCATCGGCGACAAACGTGGTCACCAATCAGAGCATGTATTCCCATTGAATCTTAGTCTTGGAAGGAGGTTTTCCCTGAGGGGACCCGACCCCTTGCCTTGATGTGTCCTGCTTGCATTTTGCCTTCCGTTTTCTACCAGGAAAATAAAGGCATGGCTCCACCCTAACTTGAGCACTAGCTCTTTGAAGCCCAGAAACGCTCTCTTGCACTGTTTTTCACACACTCTGTCCTATGGGACTCCTGGTATGCACTGTAGGATCAGCATTGGACTGTGAACCACAAGGTCAGCAGTTCAAACCCACCAGCTGCTCCTAGACAGGGTCACTAGGAGTCAGAACAGACTCGATGGCACTTAACAACAGCATAGGTCAGAGTAGAGCTTCCCCATTGTGTTTCCAATGCTAAAGTTTTTACAGTAGCTCATTGCCATGTCTTTCTCCCAGAGTCGCTGGTGAGTTTGAACCACCAACGTTTCAGTTAGCAGCCCAGCACTCAATCACTGTGCCACCTAGATGACATCATAGGAAACCCCATGCTTATAATTTTCCATCTGAGAATGTATCCATTTATCTTTAGCTTTGTTTATGGTCTTTAAGCCAATTCCATATTCATGATAAAACAACCCTTCCTGATTCAAACTTGTAAAAACAGCCTCTTCGAGTGGGATTTTCTCACAGGTTTTTGAAAGTCAAATTAAATTGGGTTTTGTGGTTCCCTCTTATCCATATGCTTATTTATCTGCTCAAGGAACTCAAGGAGATTAGCGAGGCGCGATTCCCCCTTCCCGACACAAGGCTGCCTTCTTCTAATAAGCCATGTTTACTTAAGTGTTCAGCGATTCAACTTTATTATAGATTCATTCTGTAAACATTAAACGCTTACTCCATGCAAGATCCTACCAAATGGTCCCTTGTGATACTGAAAGTACCTCGGCATATTAGTTTGATACATTAAGTGAAAGAAACTTAAATAATGCATGGCTTCATCTTCCACTCCTGAGCGCACAGCTCTGCTCACATACCGGGTTGAGTCACGTGTGCCCTTGGACAGCCCGCCAGGGATGGTCCTGATGTGGGACTCTGTGCTTGGCTCTGTGCTGTGAAATGCGGTGTGAACTGAAGCCATCCCAGGAAGGGCAGGCAGGAGGTGGGATACATGTATCAGTGTTGTGTGGCTGCTGTAACAAAATGCCACAGACGTGGGGGAGGAGAGTAGTGTTATAAGAACAGATACATGTTTGTCTCACAGGTCTGGAGGGTGGGAGTCCAAACCAGGGTGTGGGTCATGTGGATTCCTTCTGAGACTCTGCTCCATGCCTCCCTCCTGGAAATCTTCAGCTTGTCTCTGCACCAGCCTCCTTCATCACCTGGCTGTTTTCCCTCTTTTATAAGGACACTAATCATATTTACAGCCTCAGAAGCCCTGTACAGGGTCACTATGAGTCGGAACCGACTCCACGGCATATAACTACCACCACCACCAGTCATATTGGGTTGGGATCCTGGTGTAGCACTATAGCACTGTAGGATAAGCACTGGATTGTTGGCCACAAAGTTGGCCGTTCAAACCCTATACAGGGTCATTATGAGTTGAAACTGACTTGACAGCACGTAACAACAACAACAACAAACCACATTGGATTAGGGTCCGCTGAAGAAGTGCAGCCAGAGTGCTCCTTGGAGGCCAGGATAGCTAAGCTCCGTCTCTCATACTTTGGACATATTGTCAGGACGGAACAGTTGCTGGAGAGGGATGTCATGCTAGGTAAGATGGAGGGTCAGAGAGGAAGAGGAAGACCCCCAACGAGATGGATCAGCCAGATGATATCATTGATGGCGTCAAGTGTGGCAGCGGTAGTGAGGTTGGCCCAAGATCGGACATTGTTTCGTTCTGCTGTTCATGGGGTCGCTATGAGTCAGTTCCGACTCTATGGCACCTGACAACAACTAATGTTAACCTAACTAATTATATCTGGAAAGCAAACCAACAAACAAAAAAACAGGTCCTGTTGAGTTGATGCCAATTCGTGGTGACCACGTAGGGATCAGAGTAGAACTGTGCTCCACAGTGTTGCCAGTGGCTGATTTATTTGGTACAAAGGTTGCCAGATCTTTCTTTCAAGGTACTTCTGGGTGGTCTTAAACCACTAAACTTCTGATTAACAGCTGAGTGCTTAACTGTTTGCTCCTTTCCCACCCACTCTCACCACCAAAAACAAACAAACAAACAACACACACACAAAAAAACAAAGCCAGTTGCCATTGAGTCAATTCCAATCCATGGCAACCCGTGTGTGTCCTAGGAGAATGGTGCTCCATAGAATTTTCAGTGCCGCTGTGGGTTAACGCACCAGACTGCAAAGCCATTTGACCTGCAACATCAGTGGTTCAAGCTCACCAGCCACTCCTTGGAAACCCTATACAGGGTCACTATGGGTCAGAACTGACTCAATGGCACTTAACAACAACAAGGACCTTCAAACATAAATCACCAAGCTTTTCATCCAAGGAGCCTCTAGGTAGATTTAAACTAGCAATGTTTCAGGCAAGTGCTTAACCATGTGTACCACCCAGAGACTCCTTTCATCACCCAAGAACTCCAAAATTATGACTTCCGAACAAGGCACACACACAAGTACCAGGCATCAGGATTTCAACATATCTTTTGGAAGGACACAATTCAATCTACAACACCACCAGGAAGTTCTCTGATATATGTTAGCATTCAGCTAAGATTTTAATTTGAAAATCATTGGATGAGATTTGTTTTTTCAAACTCCAAAACACTGGCTGAGTAGACAGTGGGTTGAATCCAGGACGGTGGTTGTAATGTGGTTTCCCACTCATGACTTTCGATGCACTCCTGTCTGTTTGCTCTCTCGGCTCTATTTTTCCAGTTTGCCAAATGGACTTCGGGGACTTTTGTCAGTGCCCTCAGCACTTCCTGCTATTGCTCCCTGGTGGGGACACCAGTTTCCCTTTAAGTCCAAGTCAGTCTTCTTAGCGTTATCCTGCCACCTCAGGACTTGGTTATTTTTATTTGTTGTTGTTATGTGCCGTGGAGTCGGTTCCGACTCATAGTGACCCTGTACAGGGTTTCTGAGGCTGTAAATCTTTATGGGAGCAGAAAGTCTCATCTTTCT